TTTCGTCAGAACGAAGTTACGGAAAGTTAATTAACAAACGGAGACGTAACAGTATCTTGACTTTGGACTCTTATTTAACAATCTCCTGAAACAAGACCATTTGAAGATAAATGAATTAAGTTGAATTACAACTGTATTGTCAAAAAAGAAACTTATTTGAACATTTAATTTTTTTAAATGTATTTCATATGTGAAGCAATCTAATGAATTCAATAACAGGAAAAAAAAAGAACTTTAATAACTGAAAACAACTTGTAAAATGAAGAGAAGGAGGCTGAAAAATAGATAATTATCTCAGTGCTGGATATGCACAACATTAAAAGTTATTCAACAATACATATATACAACAAAGTTTGTAGTACTACTGCATTGTTGACTAGTTTTCTTGCTGTAAAATGTACATAAAGTCTGGGCAAGATGAGCTTACAAACTCAAACTGAACTAATTTAAAATGATATAGCCTGAGGAGACCCATAACCTGCATACTGATAACTTCTTATAATATAGAAAATTACAGAACATCTTTCCAACTTTATTAGAGATCTTGAAGTGTTTTGTATAAGTATTAAAATGCTTGCATTGGTATCAGTTTTACCATCATGTATTACCTAAACAATTATAAGTATATGATTATGCATACATGGAAAACAGCCCATCCTTTCTCTTCATGAAGAAATTAAATATTGAAACTAATATATAGATTCATAATTCTAAAATCCTTTGTACTTTAAAAAATTACTCTTCAACAAAATAGTTTTGAATACCAGACAACCATTCTAATTCCTACTGACACAGAGTAACCTGCAAAATCCTTAAAAATGTTTTAAAAAACATCCATGACTTCTTGTAAAACTTAATCATTTTGTTTAGATAAACTACAATTATTTAAGTCTTTAGTTTTTATTTCTTTTGCTGGTTGAACGGAAGATTAAGAATAAACTGTCATAGAGACAGAACTAGGTCACTTAAAGTGTGAACCAATGACTTCAGGGATAATTCTAATATAAACAGCCCTCCCTACTCAAACTGCAATTCTTCAAAACTACAACAAATGTGAAACAGAAATTCCAATGTAAGCATCAAATCTTAATATCCTGTTATTTGAAGCAAACAGTTGCTGTTATCTTTAGTTCATATTATTATACACATTCTTCCTCAATATTAAAAAAAACAACCCTATATGTACAAACTAACCATCAAGAGATTCAAGATTCTTTCCCCCACTGCTCTTCATTCTTCTGTGTCGTTTCTTGATATTGGGAGTGTCTAGTTTTCCCAAAAGAGGATTAGTACTAGGAATTCCAGATATATACTGTCCATCACTCCCATTTACTGCACCTACTGAAACAAAGAGCATAAAGCAGCAGCAAAAAAATTGTACTTCTGTAAACTAAAGTGGTTTATCCATCAACATTATAAATAACTGGTCAAAACTTTTTCTTTCATAGAAAAGATTTTAGCATTTCATTCAAAAAAAAGGTTATAAAAAATTGAAACAATCAATTAGCAGCTACACAGAACCTATAGTTTTCCCTTTTTACAAAAAGTGTATAAATATAATAGTTAAAGATATATTTTAAGCACCAGTGTAAAATGTTTCAGACACTATTTTTCTGTACTGTAACACTAGCTCCATGCCTACATTTAAAGTGATCAAGAAAATTAATACTTTCATAGCACAAAGCATTTTCCTATTCAGCATCATGAAGACTAGCACTACAACAGCATTTTAACTTTAGAGCCAATAAGTCTACACCTAGTGTTTCACAAACCAAAATCAATGTTTAAAATGATTAACTGGGAATTAAATGAAAATACCTTTTACAATACAATACTAAGTTGTACATTCACAAACAGAAAGAAATTCTCTATTTTATTACTATATTTTTGCAGAGGCTCTCCTTCCTTGATCTTTAACGAAGGTAGAGTTCGTTCTAAATAACTTGCTTTCAGGAAACTGACAAACAGAACTACAGAAACAACTGGGTGAATTTAAACAAAATAAAGAAAGAAAACTATAAACTACAATAAATAAGTACATGAGAATTACTATGTACAAAGTAAATTTACTAAAAAAAACTAAATTTTAATTGCAGTGGTTTAGCTACAAGAATGAAAACCGTATGAAAAATATTACTCAGTTCTGTCTTACAACACAACTATTACATAACACTGTTCTGCACATGGATACTGGTGTCTTATAAAAATCAAACAGAGTAAGCCTCCATTTATTTAAAGCTAAAATGTGCAAAAATGTGAGTATAAAATAACTTAAGGTATGCAGTTATACAGTCATATCAAGATATAAAGAAAAGTAACAGAAAAACAAAAGTATCACTATAACAAACAATAAACTGTGCCAAGTATGAGCATGTTTATTGGGTTGTGGAACATACAATAATTTATAATGAAATGCAAAGTATCCAAAAAAGACAAAGTTAATATAAAAGCATAACACATTTCTGTGTTTTTGCAGATTAAACCAATATATGTTTGTATATTTCAAAATGCACACAAATGGACTTCTTACCTGATGTGATTGGATGATTGGAAATCACTACAGCATCATCACAATTACTGGATAATGAACCTGACCTGCGACTCTGGCGATCTCGTACCAAGTCAAATGCTGAAGCTAACAATGCTTCCCGATCTTGAGTGATAGATTTGGAGAAAGCCAAAAAAGGAGAACATTGGTATGTGCCTGTTGGTGGTGGTAGAAAAATGGCATGGTGCGTGGTAAACTCTGTACATGTTGAAACTAACTATCAGCCGACACTAACGCTAACTATCATTCATAATTTAAATTCAGATCCTTACATCACATGAACCAGTGTGTAATAACCTATTAAATCTTGACATCTGCTATAACATCATAGTTTGATGGATATAAACAGCTGATGATAATCATACGTATATTTTAATTCATATAACTCTTGACAAAAACAATTCAAAGTACTGAAGCCCTTCACACCTTAACTAAATAAAATAAACTACAGTCTTCACTCACTTAAATATCTATCCTTCACAGGCCTAATACTTTATAACTTCCATACATTCTGAAAACTTAAATTCCACTTTCTAAAAGTGCTATTACTATACTTAACTGGTAAAAAGTGTTAAAATAACTAAATATTAAAAGTCAAAGCAACTATAACTACAAAACACTCAGAAATTAAAGAAAACAATTCATAAAAAATGTGCTTGGTAATTATCTAGTAAATTATCAATATTTTTATTCATGTGACAAACTTTCCTCTACTAATTTGCTACTTATCGATAATTCTACAATATATATATATCTTCTTAACAACCGTATACTGAAGTGTTACATGCGGAAAAAGATAGTGTCAATTTATATTTTATGTATGTATGGAAACATCTTGCATCTTAACTGGACACGTTTCAAAGTTATGTAAAATGTGATCATGGATTAATTATTGCAGCTGCATAAAAAGGCCATTACTATGGATGCCTTTATCCAACTATATTTCCAACTTTAGAAACAACTTATAAACACACAATTAGTTTGTACTTAGTTCATTAAAACGAATGAAAATTAAATTGTTTAAAATTACAATTTACCCAATGCTTTAAAATGTTTTTGTTCAATATCTTTCTTTTGCAGAGAGTTTTGATGGAAGTATCCTAAAAAGTATCATATGATAAAGTTACTATTTTCTCACGGAAAGTACAAGTAGAACTCTCAAGTGCTAGTTAGGTATAGTTGAAATGCTTTTAGACCCTTTCTTAACTGGAAACCTGTACCAGAGCAGTGGAGAATGATGTAATTTAACTATTATTAATCTTATTGTGATGAAACATTACATACATATATTACCACTAATTATTAATATTACCTAATGATATGATAATGCTGACATGCACTAACCTGGCATCTGTGTAAATATTTGTTAGAGTTTATACCATACAGGAACTTATCAACTGTGTACAAGTTTGTTGGAGTTTATACCATACAGCAACTTAACAACTATGAACAATTTTGTTAGAGTTTATACCATACACCAACTTATCAACTGTGTACAAGTTTGTTTGTGTTTATACCATACACCAACTTATCAACTGTGTACAAGTTTGTTTGTGTTTATACCAAACACCAACTTATCAACTGTGTACAAGTTTGTTTGTGTTTATACCAAACACCAACTTATCAACTGTGTACAAGTTTGTTGGAGTTTATACCATACACCAACTTATCAACTGTGTACAAGTTTGTTGGAGTTTATACCATGCATTAACCTGTGAAATACTAGTTTATTGGTGTTTATACCATACACCAACTTATCAGCTGTGTATAAGTTTGTTGGAGTTTATACCATCAATATGTTTATCATTTAATTTTTTTTTCTTAATGCATTAAATGCACTTTAACACACAATTACTTTTATATAATTATACTCAATAAGACAATTTAAATCAAGTAACAAATAATTTCTATTTGGTTTATAATGCCATATCAGTTAGATATTCAATCACAGTTTTAACAATGTCACCTTATTACAAGAAATAAATATTGTATTTTAATACTATCACCCTTTCATGAGGAGTATAGTGTTTTAACACTGTTACCCTATCACAAGGAATATGTATTGTGCTTTATCAATGTCACCCTATCACAAGGAATATGTATTGTGTTTTAATATTGTCACCCTATCACAAGGAATATGTATTGTGTTTTAATATTGGCACCCTATCACAAGGAATATAAAGTGTTTTAATATTGTCACCCTATCACAAGGAATATGTATTGTGTTTTAATATTGTCACCCTATCACAAGGAATATGTATTGTGTTTTAACACTGTCAACCTATCACGTGTATATATTGTGCTTTAATACTGTCAGCCTATCACAAGGATTATATATTGTTTTAACACTGTTACCCTATCACGAGGAGTATATGTTATGTTTTAAAAGTGTCACTCTATTGTGAAGAGTATAATATTGTGTTTTAACACTTTCACCCAATATATTGTGGAGGCTATAAAACAGCATTTTGACAATGGTATATTAATGAAAAAAATACAAAAAATTCTGGCAATATCACATTCTTGAATCTCTTTCTAAGCATAGTTCTTCTAGTCAGGGACTAGTTTTCCTTGTAGAATCTCTTTCTAAGCATAGTTCTTCTAGTCAGGGACTAGTTTTCCTTGTTGAATATCTTTCTAAGCTTAGTTCTTGTAGTAAAGGACTAGTTCTCCTTCATGAGCTTCTTTGTAAGCATAACTCTCGTAGTGAGGAGCTAGTTTTTCCTTGATAATTCTCTTCCTAAACATAGTTCTTGCAAACAGGGACTAGTTTTACTTGTTATGCTTCTGTTTAAACGATGTCTGTATAGTCAAGGACTAGTTTTCCTTGTTGTACATCTTTCTAAACATAGTTTATATATATATATATCTTATTTGAAAAGCTAATCATAGAGTTTAAACAGGCTAGTTATTTCAGTTTGAGTACATTTCTTCCAAGGTCTTCTTGTACACAAGTTATAAGATTTTGTTCTTTTAAAGTAAATAAAAACATTAAGATTAAAATTAAGCTGAAAACTGAGACAAGAGATACGATAAATATTAACTATGATATAACTTCTTTATCATAATATTATTATTGTTTATATTGCTAGACACATAGTATCAAAGACAATTTTAGCGTATTCTTTTATAAGTTGTTTAGTTTTTACTCCAAAGTTATGTACTGTAGCTCACATATTTTCACATAGTCACAGAAAATTTTACAGTAGCATTTTGTAACTATTAGGTAGGTATTATACATAATAGGTACATTTGATTAATTTACTTCATAAATCATTTTATCTACTTTAGAGAAAACTGCAAAGTAAAATAGGAAAAATACTTTAAAATAAAATTAATTTCTACAAAAACAATTTAAAAAAATTAAAAATAATTTCAGTAATTTATTGTCATCCAAGAAGCATCACAAAAAGTTTATCCCAATATTCTTGTCAAAAGCAACCATACCAACATGAAAAGTCAACTAAAGCCAAAATGTTTTCTAACTAAAGTCTTAAAAAAAAAAAGAAAAAAGAAATACATAATACTTTTAAAACAGATTGAAATTACATATATAAAAAAAAACATGAAAAATTTATGCTATAAAACTAGCAATGAAAATTAGATCTTAAGTCACAAATAAAGTTTTTGATAGTCTCAAATAAGCCTGATTGACACATTTGTTGCTAACCTTCCTCCTTTCAGCCAATTGGTTTGGACATTCTTTTTTTTACAGAATAAAATCAGAAACAGGAAAAAAAATTACAAAAGTAAGCAAAAACTATATCACTGAAAATGCTTCAAGAATCTAATTTCAAAGTTAATTTAACCATTATTATTTTACGACCTTAAATCACAAAAGTCATTTGATTTCCCAGATTATGTCACCTATGACCATCATTTGATTTTACAAGTTAATACATACACACACACACACACACCAAAGTTTTTTTGTATTACTTCAAATATCACCAACATATTCTGATATTTTAGTTAATTAGCAGTTTATTTAAGTTTAATTTCTGTTATCATAACCACCACATTTTCTCTAGTTCATTCTTATATTCTTCCAAAACTATTACATTTGAAATTATACTACCAACACCACTATCACATTGTTCAGGTTACTTAATCTTCTATCCAGAGAAGGTTTTTTACATTCTTTTTTATACCTAAACAACTATATTTTCAGGTTGTTTTATTTAGTATCATCATCATAGAAGTTTAATTACCACCACCACCACCAAGTTTTTGAATTTTTAGCTCACTACCACCACCATCAGGTTCTATGTTATTTTATCCACCACCATATTTCTAGGTTAACTCACCTACCACCACCACCAAGTTTTTGAATTTTTAGCTCACTGCCACCAACATCAGGTTATATGTTATTTTATCCACCACCACATTTCTAGGTTAACTCACCTACCACCACCATCATGATATTTGTTAGGCTATTTCAGCTACTTCCATCACCAAATCTTAAATGAAAGATTCAACATACCCAGAAGAAGTTTGACTTCTGATGAGAATTCATGCAAAACTAGACAATTCACATAGCCATTAAGAACAAAATGGCTGATAATATTACCTCCAGTAAAAGAAATACCACTCAGTTCAGAACTTAAGTCATTCATTTGGTTTGATGATGATGTTGATGGAAGCTGCCTTGAGCCTCTGGGTTTCTGGCCTGGAATTTTCACTGTTGTGTGCATCAGAGGGATTTCCTTTCCATGGACATCATCCATATAATCCTACAAATTCAATCAATATAATAGTATTCCCCAAATGTGTTTCGTTGCTGTAAACATCAATCATGACTATACAAGCAAGTCTTAATTTCATATCCAAGGTACAAATAGCTCTATTAAAAATATAACTGTTTGGTTAAAAATTTGCTACTCTCACACAACTAAGGTAAATGTCTAAATCAAAATCTCATTGTTTTATTGCCTAACAAAATGATCATTCACCAAACGAGAAGATTAAAATGTTTTTACACTAAAACATGGTAATCGATGATAAAATTTACAGATGATAATTCTTTTATATTATCCACATTCTAACTAATAATCTATAAGCTATTTGTCTTCATTTATCCCTTTATTTACTGAAATATCACTGTTTTCGGTGAAACATAATGAATTTTTTCTCTCAGTAATATACTCCATTGATGAGAAACTAATTATCTTTGCCACACACAATCTTATACTAAAACCAATAAGTTAAACAATTTCTTGTGTTAAAAGCCATAAAGTTATAGAGAATCAATTTATATAAGCTACGCTCCCTAATAAATGTATTTTTGATAAATACTAGCAAGCAAAAATTAGTCTTATTTTTATAAATTAACATGAAGACCAATCAAAAACCATAAAACACTTGCTTACATGAAGACTAGGGTGATAAGTCAACCTTCCATCACTTGTTAATGTTACATACTTTTTTTTCCATTCTTTGTTTAAGGCTTTGCTACTTCTTTTGTACAAGTAACCCTGAAAAACAAAAAACTGAGGTAACAGCAACTCAACAAATAATACATTAAATGTAGAAAATAAATGTAATAACACAGTAAAAATTCTCATTAAAATAGAACACCCAAAATAAACTAAAAATATCCAGTTTAAAGAAGTATGCTACAAAATCTTACTTTCTAGCATATCTGAAGACTTACTTATTTATACAGCTCCTTTCAAATACATAATTGGAATACTGACTCAGATACAGATAGCATAGGATTATCAGCTACCAGTACTAAAATATAACTACCAGTTAATAACATTCTTTTTAGTTACAGATAAGACTAATTACTGTATAGAAAGTATTAAACCACTTCAAAATATTTTATTTCTAACAAGGTAAACTTCACTTTAATTGTGTTTTCATACTATTTCTATATGCACTGGTATTCTAAAGTTTATGGAAATATGAGAAGCTTTAATCTCCTACTGTCATTTCCACATGTTAGCAAGTACATAATCATCCCATTTCAATTTAAAATAACACTAAGCACTTTCTTTTGCTACAATAATATGTAAAAAAAAATTGTACCTGTTTTAATGGAATTATTCTTCCACTTCCAACTTCTCCATTCTTGGTTTTTTTCTCTTCTTCTCCTTTCTTCAATGGCTAAAATTGTTTATTTAAATCAGCTTGTAAAAACGTTTGGAAAAGACTTCAAACACTAGTTTTTGTATTACCAAACAGAGAAGGATAGAATCAAGAAACATTCTTATACACTTAAATTGTCAGTAATTAAACATGCTGAGTCGAAACTGATACAAGCAATCTAGAAACTTTTAAGACTGAATTATTTTCTATATAACTTACATACTCTGAATCATATTTATAGTTACCTTAAGTTCAACAATGAAGAAGTTACCATATAACTTAATAAGTCCAACTATTCAAGGAGACCCTACATAACAGTATCAGCTGAGGACTGAGAATTTAGCATCGTAATTCTACTGTACTTCAAATGAAGATTTAAGGAAGTATTCCTCATCTTGAACATTTGATAAATGGAAACAACATTGAACAAGGTGATTTTATTAATTCTGAGTTTGATAAGAAAAAGTTGGGAAATTTTAAGAATGACAAGGCTCCTGGACCAGATAATATTTCCCCGAGAGTTTTGAAGGAGGTTAAGGATTGTACATGTGAACCACTTGCTACTATTCTTTGCAAGTCCTTAAATAATGGGCAGGTGCCAAAGAATTGGAAGTTTGCTAATGTTACTCCTCTTTTCAAGAAAGGTGATAAAAATTGTACTAGTAATTATAGACCTATTAGTCTTACATTAGTTGTGGGAAAAGTTTTGGAAAGTCTGATAAAAGATGTTTTCCAAAGTCGTTTAACAAAGTTTATAATTTTATTGTACAGTCAACCTGGTTTCTCTAAGAGAAAATCTTGCCTTACAAATATTTTCCCATTTTTTGAAAAAGATACTGCTTATGTAGATGACAGTAAGGGTGTAGTTTTGGTGTATCTAGATTTTCAGAAAGTACTTGACAAGGTGCCACACAAAAAAAGCTTGTAAAAAATTATTTCTGTTGATGTGGAGGATAAGTTAACCAATTGCATAGAAGAGTGACTGGATGGAAGAAAGCAGAAGGTTGTTATAAATGGAATTCAATCAAATTGGATTAATGTTGCAAGTGGGAACCTCATGGCTCAATCTTAGTACCTTTTCTCTTTTTGATTTACATCAATGACATAGATAAAGGAATGATAAATAAGTTACTTAAATTTGTTGATGATATTAAGGTCTTTGGTGTTGCTAGCTGTGAAGAGGATGTTGCTGCTTTACAAAGTGGTTTAGATCTGGAATGGATGGAAACCGTCTGTTGTAAAAACACAAGTGTAGAGGACGAAATTTTGAAAGTCTTCTGTCTTTCATCTTTATTATGGGCCAGCGTCTCTCAACAAGATCAACAACTACAACAAAAATTTTACCAAGCTTGCACACTGTACTAATCACCTTACCTTCTTGCAATGCTGTAGAGATTCAAATGTTATCCCAAACTTTCTAGTACTTGAAGAAATTACTCTTGCTAGAACAACAAAGATCAAAAAAGTCTTCAACAATACCAGTAGACATCTCCTAAGATTAAATATAGAAGAAAACAGACAAAAAAAGCAACACCTGAGCAAGACAACTGGAACACAATATTCTGAACTTCAGATTTTCACCATGAATACATACACATTGGACATCTTAAACCTTTACACCAAATGCTATACATCAAACCTGGAAGACATCAAGAGGAATCAAGTCCAAAAATTTAACAGACCCAAGAAAGATAATCCTACTACTACCAACATAGTTCACAACTTCAGTCCAAGACCACTAAGTCATACAGAAAATAAAATTCTTAACCTATGACTAAACAAATGGTTGAACAATTCTGACATCAAATTTACTCCATCCTCGGGAATGCTAAGAAACCAAAACCTAAGATCACTAAACAGAAATGTAATGGACCTGAAGATGAAAGAGAGAAGGATTTCCAAATGTTGTCCTCTACACTTGTGTTTCTACAACAGGTAGTTGCCATCCATGCAACTAAATTTTATCATGAATACTCTGCCTAAATAATTTATCAAAGGATTTAGATCATTTAGTGAATTGGGCAAATAAATAGCAGATGGGTTTTAACTATAATAAATGTAAGACAGTGCATGTGGGTTATCATAATTTGAATTGTAAGTATAATTTGGATGGGAATAACTTTAACAGTGTCATGAAAGAAAGGGTTCTGGGTGTAATGGTTGATCACTCTTTTAAGCCTTCCAAGGCAAATAAGGTAAGGTAAATAGGATTTTAGGCTGTATCTACAGAAATACTGAATACAAGTCTAAAGTGGTTATAATTTCATTGTGTAGGTCACTGGTTAGGCCACATTTGGAGTATTGTGCTCAATCTTGAGGTCATTACCTTAGAAGAAGGGACACTGAATTGTTGGAAAAGGTTTAGAGGAGGGTCACTAGGATGGTGCTTTGGATGGAGGGGTTGTTATATGAGAAGAGATTAAGATCTCTGAAATTATTTATCTTGATAAAAACAAAAGTTAGAGGGGATCTGATTGAGGTATTTAAGATTGTAAAAGGAACAGATAGTGTTGATGCATCATCCTTTTTCATACTTAAAGGCAAAGAATAGTATGTCTAGGGGACACAAATATAAATTCTGACAAGGTAGATGTCATGTTTAGCTAAGAAAGTTTTATTTTTCTGACAGAGTGGTTGGCCTCTGGATGTTGTGGAGGCAGTAGATTTAATTGAGTTTATGAGAAAGCTTGATAACTGTATGAATGATAAGGGCTGGCTTTATGGATTTTTTAAATATATATATTTATTTAATAGTTTTAGAGGATGGGATAGCCAAGATGGACTAATAGGTCCTTTGTTATCCCCTAAACATTATGTTATGTTATTATGTTTTTAAGAACAGATAGAGGTAAAAAACTTAAAGAGAACGTATCACACATAAAGTATGCAACTCAAATTTGGAATTTAGTCAAAATATAGATTAAAAATCAAATTTTTGTTTTAAAAAAAGACTATTAAAAATGAAAGCTAACAGTGAACAGATTTGAACGTCTTCTGTTCTTCCGAGAGGTTGTTGGAGTTGAACTTGGTGTTGGTAAATCCTTGTCCTTAGAAGTGGATGTAGGAGGCAAAGCAACCTCTGTCAAAAGATGATCTGGATCTTCAATCCTGAAATCCTTCAGTACAGGGACTCCACTAGAAGCATCCTGACTTCTTTGTCTCATACTCACATCCTATAAATGACACTGCTCCATTAATATCTACATAGTAATTACAATTTAACAAACTAAATAAAAAGAATGACTATTATTCTGATTAAGTGAACCATATAATAAAATTAAAGAAAAAGTTCAATAAGAAAACTCAAATGCACTAAATTTTATTTTTCTTAGAAGAGAGCATAAACAGATTTATTTAAATTTCTAGTAATCCATCATACTTTCCCTTCTATATATACAGGATGAATAGGGATCAAAAGTATGGAATATTACTTAGGCATGTATGAACCAACAGAAGTCTTTAATACTCCTTTGTACAAGTATTGATATCTATATATATATATATATATATATATATATATAACTAACGTTACCTCCTACTACTACTTAACTACTAAC